TAAGTTACTGCTTTGTAACTTATTTAAGGCTTTTTCACTTTTTGTAAACTGAACTTAACATTGTTATTATTGTGTTATTGCTATTTGCTGTCGAGTCAGTATTCATTTTATTATTGTATCTAAGTTTTTAATTTGACCATTAAAGATATTTCAATGCGAGTCGGTCGGCGTTCCTAAGGTTTGTTTATAAACCCTTTTTTACAACCCCTTCCTACCGACAAATCAAAGGTTATTGTTATCACGGTTTCAATGCTGACATCATAATGTGATCTCCGGTGAATTAAAAAGAAAGTCACATGCAGGCTTCAAACAATACAGGAATAGCTTGGTTCTCATAAGAGGTAATGGTAGCCACCTTGCTAAAAATGGCATCAACCTGGCAAGTGTTATACACATTATGAAAACCATAATTTGCAAAAATAAGGAACCTGCAATTTAGGGGTAAATGAAACGCAAATTTTTGCTAACTAAAATCTACTCATTTTTTCACAGAAAACCGTGGCCTATAATTCCATTTTGAAAAGTCAAAATTTAAACGTCAATGTTTGAAATATCGACCAATTACGTTTGGATCCTATCACCAACCCTAGTGTACCATCTTGTTAATGTACGTTTGAAGTACAAGAACTGTACCGAATAGTATTCAGGTTATATTTGAAAATTTATTTAATGCTCAGTCATTCTTATAACCAGCCGTGTAAATCCTTAATTACACTTGAGTTCAGACCATAACTTTTACTCTGGCGAAATGTTATCATTTTAAGTCAATCGGAACTTAAGTGTATGGAACAAAACCTCTTTAGCAATAAAAATGAAATATTTGCCTGCAAATAGAATTTTTATGTTTTTTCCCTCTGGTCTTATTGCTTGTTACAGTCACGTAGTATTGCGTGACACAGGTTAGGGGTGGAGTATAGGGGCAATGCATTGCAGCCCCTCTAGGCAAACTGCTTGCTTAGTAACCTCGCTATCGAGCGTGGTTGTGCATTCCCTCAGATTTTCCATCGAGGTAAGACACTTATTTGAACTCCCACCTCCTCCCCTGATCCTGTCCACCTTGTTTATGTTTATGCAGGATGTAAGCCATATCGCATGGCGTTTTGGTTGCCCTCACCTTTACTGGGCCAAAAGATTTCTAACAGATTGTAAATTTTATATGAATCATAAATTGATTATTTCAATAAAAGCGGCTTTGGGCTTTCCCTCAGCCATCTTACTCCAAACGTTTGTGTGAGAGTAAAATTATTGTTGGCCAGTAAACGAGCTCAGTCAATACAGCACTCGGTTGATACGTTAATAGGAGAAGCCCAGAGGAAAAAGCATAAAAAAATCTTGCGAAAAATTCATTAAAAGGAGGATAAAGCAAAAAGCTATTATCTTAAGAGCAAATGTACACAAAAATCAAACAAGATCAAATTTCTTCAGCAAATTCATTCTCCAATGAATCAATTCTAAGTACAATCAAATTGAATATGAACCGAGTTTTCTGTAAGACATTCAAACAACAGACTTCTGCATAATATTCGATTTTTGTTATATCTATTTTTGTTGTTCATTTCGCTAAAGGCGAAGTGAACATTGGTGAACATTCACCGAGACGTATCCAGTGTTTTTGGACTAAGAAGGAGTCGAGGTGCATAAACTCGGAAAAAAAGAACGAGGCCAGTAATAAACCAGCCACTTTGATCAACCAAGCTTTGTAATAAGATATTTATTATATCGGAAAACAAAATGTTTCTTGCGGGCCAGCGCGTAATCCCGTGTGGGCAATATAGTGTTTAAGTATAATTTCCAGAGGTAAATATATGAATAGGACTTTCTGATTGGTCGAAAACCTCATCATATGGCGTTATATTCACCCCGCTGGAGCTTGGTTACTAAGCTCGTCATCTTTGCCATCTTGGCAAGTAAACATGGCGGACAGTTACTGAATGAAGTTTTCATTTATTCGAAAGTCCAGGATATTTGAAACGATGGAGAGTTTTCAAAATGGCTGCTGTCGCCCTTGGACCAAAAATCGTTTCAAAAACTCGTATTCAAGGCCTTTAAGATTCGTGTGCGCAGTGGTTGTGTCGATCGCTAGCAGGTCAGATCGATTGGCCTAAATTCATTTTTCTTCAAACCATAGCTACTCATTTTTAGGCGATGATGAGAACTGTGAATGAAGTCGACAACGATAAACAAAGGTACCGGATGAATTTACTTCTCGTAGTGTTTCGTTCGTTTGTTTTACTGCTGATTGATTGACAATCGATGTACATGTAAGCTCATTAGGGAGTTTTAGCAAATCGCTACGGCTGACGCTGATACGGTTGCCGGAAGTAAATTTCCCCCAAAATGAGACCCTGTGCATGTACGTCGGTTGCATCCAACCGTGGCGTGAAATCTGACTACGTGAGTCGGGATGTTTTGCCGTAGTGGCTACTACGTCGGG